TCGAGGTACCGCCTAGTGCTCATGGATCTGACAAAATATCAAAACTCATTGCCGGCCGGAGAAAACTATCCGGATGTGATGTCTGTATGTATTTGCTACCATTTGTAAGGTTTCCGCACCCTGCGAGTGCATAAATGGCACGGTAGAGAGCGCCGATGTTCGGACGCAATGAAAATGGCCGAAATTGCGCATTTTCGGAATTTGTCATGGCAGCCCGAAACCGAGTGCGTTCGGTGCGGAATAACCAACGGACCCTATGTACAACAGTTTCCCACCACCGCAAAATGTCCTGTAAAGGTGAAACATATGTTTGGCGGGGAGAGCACAGGATGTCCGCTGGCGGACAATCTTCCTACCGCCACAGATATTCGGGAGATCTGTGTTGTTCTGACCATTTCAGTCTATCATAAAGGCCCAAAGGCTGGTAGCAAGTCCCTACGGAGGCAGGGACGAGTGCAACACCGTGAAGTCTCGCCACCACCTTCTGGGCACCAACCAGCAAGTCACGACGCACGGTCCTGCCTATTGGTCCGTGCGCAATGATTCCAGACTGTCAGTAAGCGGCTGAATAGATGTACACACTTGATGGACGCCCATTTGGCGCAAGGGGTTCGGTAGGACGGCATGCGCCGTGACTTGGGTATTTGTTTTGTTCCACTTGTTTACATGCTTGTAGCTACGTGTGCAACGTCGGCCGCAAGACACCACCTCCATGCCACGTCCCAGGAACTGCTCTGCGCACGACGATTCCAATGCGTGCGCAGACGGGGACAACTACACACTCGGCGGCCATGCCCGTTTGGCATGAACGTCGAGCGGTCGTCCCATCGCCGGAACGAGAGCGAAATGAGCGGGCACCTGTGTGCACCGCCGGCGGACTTGGGGGGGACCGCGTTCGCGTCCGAGTGCCGTGCGAGGGGCGCCATGCTGTGTGAAGTGCGGTTAGTGGGCTGATCCCAACCGACTGTCCAACCGAGCGTCCAACGGCGTAGGGTCGCAGCGGTCGCTGCCGCTCTCGAATGTGCCAAGTGGACCTCTCCGGACTGGTCGCCGGCAAAAAGGCGGGAGACGTCACCCGGGAACTGTACGAACGGCGATGATCGAGTTGTCCGCACGGTCGAGCGCGGACGCCACACAGTACGTTTGTCGGTCTGCCGTCGGGCTGCGTTCGATCCGACTCGCCCGGTTCTGGCCACCGACGCCGCAAAGCCGTCAACGGCGGTGATCGAGTTGTCCGCACGGTCACGGCCGTACGCATGGGCGGCGGCGATGGACTTGCAGACGGCAGGGAGGACGCGATTGCGGTGGTCGAGGGCTCCTTGTGCGTGCGCGATCTGGGCTTATGGCTGGTATGTTCCATTCGTGCTAGATCTGTACATGGTATCCTACGTCCTTAGAGCCCAAAAGTGCACGCCAACGCTCCTCCAGCTCGGCGCGACGTCGCTGACTGATCGCCCGCCGGCGCACGGTGGCACGATGCGTGCGCACAGACGCAGGCTGTCCGCTTGGCAGGCGACGGTATGCAGGCGAGAAGACTGTGCGCGTGAGACTCACCTGGGCAGGGGCCGGCTGCAGAGATACGCGGCTGGTGATTTCCCGGCGGGCGTGCGGCTGTTTGCCGTTCGCCATTTGATGCCGTAGTCTCTTCCAAGACTACGTCCCCTCGCGTTCTCGAAGTGCACTGGTCCACGAATCTGTGTGAGCTGCTGGTTCTCTCCGACGGAAACCATCGGGTTGTGCGGCGGCGGTCATCCGGGCTAGGTGTTTGGAGGTGAATGAGCCATTGTGGAGACGGGAAGGGGCCGCCGTTGAGACTGTGTTGCTGAGGGCCCGTGCGCTGGTTAGGCGGCGGAGCTTGAGGAATTTTGGGACCTTGTGGGGAAGCAGGACGAGCGGAGGATCCAGGAACACCATTCGGTTGGAGGCCATTAGCGAAAATAGGGACCGTATTCTGAGTGCCATTCGGCAGAGGACCGGGCTGCTGACCTGAGGGCACGACGATGCGCCGGACGTGTGCTGCGCGAGGAGGAGTCCTCGTGCGCACTATCTGCGGTGGGTCTTGGACGGCGATGATCGAGTTGTGCGCGCGGTCGACACCGTCGGCAAGAGCGGATGGATGATGGCACGCAGGACGTGGGACGCAGCGCGCCCGTCGGCGTTCGGGTTAGGGGGCGTGCTCGGGTGAATGCTGCTAATGGTTTGGGCGAGCCGAGTCGTGTAGATTTGGGGCACAGGATGGGGGCGGGAACGGAGGCGATGGGAAATGGGATGCGAGGCGAGGTGTAGCCGTCGGCGACGGCTAAAGCGGGAGCGCTGACAAAGGTATAAAACGGGGGGGAAGACGTGGGCGAACGGCACGACTCACCTTTCCCCTTCTCCTGGTACTCCTCCGCAGACGATGGTGTGTCGCGGTGCGGCGACAGTGCGTGACGGCTCGGTTGTAGGCATGGGCGGCGGGCGGACGAGCGCAGGAGAGCTCCGGCGGTGAAGGACGGGTTGGGGAAGGTGTTGAGCGTGCGGACAACTCGATCGCGGTGGGATGGACGAGGGCGGATGGTGAGTTTGGTGAGAGATCGAAACTGGCGGACGGGGTACTGACGAGAATTGCTTCAGTCTAGGGCAGTAGGGGTGGAGGCGTACGGGAGGCGTCTACGGGCACGGTTCGGTACTGCTGTAATTGGTGGGAGGGAAGCGGATGGCGTACGGGAGAGCAAAGCGAGAGAGGCGCGGAGGAGAGAGCGGACTGGGTGCGCACTCGGGACAGGTTCGTGCGGCGGCGGCTGAGACGGGGGCCAATGGCGAGGGGACAAGACGTGCAGAGCGAGAGGCGTGCAAAGCGAGAGACGGGGACAGAGCGAGCGAAGCGGACATGAATGTAAACAGCGGACAGGCGGCTGGTGGCCTGAGGGAGAGCCCGGCCCGGGGCGGCATATCACCACGCCCAGCGCCGGCGCTTGCGACTCGTTCTTTCGAGTATCACCACCGTCATCTCCTCAAGCGTCCTATAGATACGGCTACAGCGACACGCCATTGCACGACGTGCGCCCTGTCGACTTCCTTGGAGCTCATAACACGGAGTACGGGATACCTCCATG